TGAATATGAAGATTAGTTCTGAATTTAAAATGACGTTGGCAAATTTATCATAAGCAAGACAATGACTGGATTAAAATTTTAGATCATTAGATATAATGATTTTTATTTTACTAAGGCCTTTTGTCTAAATCTTAGCGTGATATTAATACTCCTAATTGACTACATGCTTAGCAGTTTTTTTTATTGTGACTACTATTGCAAAACAGGATCAAGTTATTGACTTTTGTCAGTGATAGGACATATATGAATTGTATCTTTTTCGTTAGTAACAATGTGAAATAAATAAACAGCTTCAACTGAAATACGAAGTCGCTTATCGACATTGTTTTCCGCGCCGATAACCGTTTCTCCACCCAGGTAGTTCCAGTGTTGATCTTAACGTAAAATTCTCAGTATTTCCTTCAGACTCGATAATGTCAGGCACAGGAAATTCAAAATATCTTGCCTTGTTCAGATACAAACATCAGTCTTATTGATTTTACTGTCCATGAAAATAATCAGCATAACTCGAAGGATACAATAATAGAATGATTCCTAAAAGAACATATGTTCATGGGAGCACATTAAATGCGTTTCCTGCATTAAAAACATCTACTTCGTATAACTGTATATGGCAGACTACTGATATTTGATGACGAACAAGAATAGTACTATCGGTTTTTAAAATGCTTTTATTTTCTTTTATACGAGCTAGTTTATATGTTTTCTTGACCTTCACAAATTAGGCCGGATGTCCCAAAACTCTTACACGACTTTTTTTTAGTGGATACCCGTATTTGAGTAGACGCTCTGATTATTTTAACATTATTTATTTCCTCTATCGACCTCCACACTGGAGAAAATCATTATAAGAAAGTTTTCTTCAGTGTACAATCCGGTAGACGAAATAAACACGGTTTAAATTAAAAGAAGCATTTACTCAAATACGGATCTACTGAAAATAACATTTGAAGTAATGAAAATATGTCGGTGTCTGTCTAAATTTCTGAGATGAGGTATTATGTACACTATTTACATTATTCGGACTATTGTCCTCATTGTTGTCACATTTATGACAACGTTTCGGCTGTTGTACGCTCCGGCCTTCTTCAGGTGGTTGGAATGTTGAATACCTGGCTAAGGCAGTGGAGAACTTGGAGAGGTGAATCAACTGGAGATAAATGCTAACTAACACCTATTAGACATGGCACATAGAACTAGAAGAGTCTCCCCAAGCGAGCGAAATAAAGGGTTCAGTTCAACATTCCAACCACCTGAAGAAGGCCGGAGCGTACAACGATTGAAACGGTGTGATAAATATGGCAACAAAGATGAGGACAATAGTCCGAATAATGTAAATAGGGAAAATATGTCGGATTAAAAAAATAAAATCCATTAATTCTTAAGAAATATATATATATATATATATATATATATATATATATATATAATTACAAATATACCTACGCTTAGAGTAAAACTCAGAATTTCATGGTATCCCATTCATCAATACAAAAAGTTATGAACTGTTGAATAAGTTTTTTTTTATTTCAAGTTTCTGGGTCCTTTTCAAAAATTTCTGGGTATCAAGTTCAAGATTATTATAAATATAATATAATATTGGAGTATAAATTTAAAATATAGAGTATTAGTAGGTAAATATCGAAAAATAAACTAAGTTATTAATAGTAAGTTTAATAGGGATATTGATCCGTTAGTGTATATTGAGTCAACGGGTAAGTTCCCAAATAAAAAGCGTGGGTAGACTAAAAAGTATATAACGAAAGAATAAGTAAAAATATAAACAATAATAAAAAAAAAATAATAAAACAAATTGAAAAAAACAACAGGAAAAGGGAACGCCTGGTTATAATGATCGTTAAACGTTAGGATGGTGCAAAGGAGGTAAATGAATATGAAAAAATAAAATAAAATATTAGAGGCAGGTCAGTGGGGGTATTACAGCAGATGTTAGATTATTGCTCTTGTCAGCATCGGCATATTTAAGAAGAGAGTTCCTTCTTTGACTGCATGTGATCATAAGCTATTTCGCTTGTTCAGCAGAATCATATTCTGCTTGTTGATATATATATATATACACATATATAAATTGAAGATTAAAAAAGAAAAGATAACGGATGGAGTAAAAGGTTGCTTGATGTGTACTGATAAAACAAAGCAAAGAAGTGCACAGTCACAGTCGTCATAATAATATTTGGGAATTTTTTTAATTTTTGCAGTAGACACAATGGATAGCCGGTTCTGAATTCGATCTCCACTGAGCGCCCCACGCTTAGAATTTTATGTCAGATGATGATAAGTATATTGAATATCAGGGAACCTAGAATTTTACTTTCGTGTCTTGATTCTCCTTAGTAGTTCTCTTCTCTCCAAATCAAATGAATAAATAAGGAATTAGATTTTATTACACACTGATTCCGGCGAAGGCAAATGGGGATTTGTTTATTTCGTGCGAAATCGCTGTTAAAATAAACTCCTTAACAACCTTTTCTAAGTCTCTTTTGTTACTGGCGTTTGATGAAAGATCATGCAAGGTGAACTTGTCGCAAAAGCAAGCAAACTTACAATACGCGTACATCCGGTCGTACAAGAGTGAAACATTTGCGAGGGTCGCGTGCGGTAGGACAAGTTTTTCACCACGACCGATGCTAGTTAATACGATTCAATAGCATTAACACATTCATCTCGTCGGAAGGTGAGATCCAGTTGTAGGTACGTAGACCAAGAATCAATGAATACTTCTACTGTTAAGCAGAGTTGGTGAGAAAGTGGTGAGAAATTACTGTATTCGATTTGACTTCCTGGCTGAACATGATTTTACGATGAGATATAAATATGAAGTGATGGAGAAGAGATTTATTTTTTGCTTTTTTGGCATCAAGTAAGCGTGTTTGCAACTGAAACATTACATTCAAGTTTCTCTGAGTGAACATGAACGTGTAGCCATAGCCTCTGTTCGCATATATATATATATATATATATATATATATATATATATATATATATATATATATATGATATTGGGCCATTTGTCGGGTTTTTTTCGGTAAAAAACAAAATAAAAATGGTAAAATATTTTAGTATTTTGACATTCAAATGCAATTATTATTTTTGCGCTTTGTCAGTTTCATCGTTTTTCAAATATCGTGTCTGCACGCGTCGTATCGTTGTTTTAAAATATCCCGTCTTTACTTGTTAGTTTGTGTTGTTATATTGACATTCATGTCCGAAATATAGAAGAAAAAAAAAACGAAAAACGTTCCTGAACAAAGAACATTCGTTGGTCATAAACCAAACTTGTATAAATGAAAAAATGCTTCCCAAATATATGCATTATACATATATATATACCTTGGCCCAGGTATAAAGATAAACTTAAAAGCAAACTTTCTTGCGTCAATATTCCATTCAAGTACTTTTAAGGGGTAGCTATAAAGAGATCAGATTATCGTTCTAGCTGCCATGTAGGAATAAAGCACCAACAAGTAATAAGCATCATTCGACTGCGTGAAACACCAAAGCAAAATAAGACCACTGAAAGTGTTCCTGTTGCACTTGGATACAATGCATTCTCCTGTACTTTTTGTGGTCTCTTGTGCTATTCTCAAGCCGGTCTCAAAAGTCATGTCCGTCATAGGCATGCAGATAATTCGTGGTCGTCGGAACTTCATATGTTGAACTCGACAGTAGGGTCCAGCACACACACACATGTTTTATATACATATACTGTACTGTACATGCGGCATTCATATATATATATCCTATTATATATTGGGATAAATATATATATATAGGGTAATAAACCAATATATAAAATATATATAACCAAATAAACCAACTAAGAGTTATCTATTTAAATATTATCTTTTTTATTTAAAGATTTTATTAGTGATACAAAGCTTAATAACCGCTATAAATAGACACATTTTGTTTGTATTTTAATACTACCGCCCACAATTATAATTAAAAGAAAAACATGAAGAACGAGCTAGCTAACTGGTTTCGAACCTCGCTCAACGGAGCTAAATCGAGGTTAATAAGTATGTATATATCATCAATAAAGGTAATGGAATCTGAGGGGAAACATTAGATGGAGATCAATTGGAGGCCAATGACAAAATCCTTCTGCTTGCAAAGTGAAGGTTTCATAGATAGAATATATATATGGCCTCCGATATTTTTAGGTGGTAATTAGAGTGGGACCTACTCAGGATGGAAAATGAGTCTACAATGAAATTAACCACACAACTGCGGTTATTTATAAGGTGTTCCGCAGTGGAAGACCCGTATGTATTGGTCAGAGCATCTGATGGTGAATAAGTAGAGTTCCGGAGTTTTGCAAGCGCGTGTTGTTTAATCCTATCATCCAGCAAAGGCTCATTTCATTCCTTTTTCTGATAATAGGCTAATTACAATGTAATATTCGTTTGAAGAAATTAGTCTTCCAATCCAAAGAATATGGATAAATAATACATAAAGAGTTGATAAACCGTAAAAATCAATCCCTCAATTGTAAAGGATCTTGGTGTGAAAACATATTGTATGATCTCATTTCTATGTCCATAATGAACATATAAATTGAAACCTGTGAAAATCAGCGTTTGGAGATTCAGACAGTTCAATACAGCGATTCGTCCCAAAAGGAACCATGTTGCTTACACTCGCACGCATACAAACCTAGGTACAAATGTATTCACGTTTGCACATGAATACACAGGGCGCGAGCACACACACACACACGTACATACATAAAGGATTTCATTTGTCAAAACATTATTAAAATGTTTTAAAACTGACTTTTATTTTTCGTTAATAATAAAGATTAGAAATATAAAATTACTTTTCACATAGTTAAAATTAAAAATAAAATTCTTTTTACATAATTAAAATTTATCTCCATCTTTTAAAAGATAATTTCGAAGAACAATAATTAAAAAACAAATTTTTAAAATATTGACGGTTTGTATTTCTTTTTTTTTTTTGTGTGTATTTGTTTTTAGTTAACCCAACTCTCTCATCTTCCCTTCCTCCCTCTCTCTTTCTCTCTCTCTCTCTCTATCTATCTTCTGGTTAATTTGCATTTAGCTTGTCCAGTTCTTTCTTTCTTTCTTTCTTTCTTTCTTTCTTTCTTTCTTTCTTTCACACTTACAGATATATTTTTTTATACCCATCATACACACATATGCACATTCACACTGAGTATCCTTACGCACACACCTATGTTGTGTTTGAGTATGTACGTACAATACTGGGGCAGGCGACAGTAAATGGATCATGAGAAAAAAATGATTTGTGGGCCACTTTCCAGAATAGATTTCTCATTAGAATTTTAAGTTTAATCTATTTTTTCTAACGCTTCCAAGCTGCTAATTTCTACACTTTTCTTATTTATTTATTCTTGTCACTACTTGAAGAGAATTTCATCCTCCTCAAAACTAGACACGTTTACAGTCAGGATTGACACATTTTCCGAGTTCGGAACGAACACGCATTTGCTAATCAGGTCAGAAGAATCAAGTCGACTACGGGTGGGGTTAATACGATATCGATTGGCGCTAGACGTTACAAATATGCAATTATAAAACAGTTACGTCCACCTTGAAGCTTTGTTGAATTAATTCTCACAAGAAATTCAGCATGAATTGTAATATTCTGTGATCAAAGACTGAAAGTTAAATTCCACAGTGTTTGCTCTTAGGAAGCAAGTTAACACTTCGTTTTCCTTTTCGGAGAATGGAAGATAAACAAATACCAAATATGATAAGAGAATAGAAAATAAAGAAACAGGTTTGTTGCATCGTTTCAAATCATATTTTCTTCATATTGTATTTTACAAGGTATCTCAAGTTACACGTATTAATGACTAGCAGTAGAGCCCGGCGTTGCCCGGGGATGTAACAGTAAGAGACAGATCAAGTATCGAACATCATAAAGACTGAAAAATAAAATTGACAAAAATTATTGTTTAAGGTTGACGGACACGCATGTCTTAATTAGTTTTTATTTTTTATTTTTATTTTTTTTTACGAATTGGTCAAACCCAAACTCCAACAAAAAACATTGTTTTCAATCGTTATGAGTCTATCGATTGAATAGAATTTTATTATAAACAATTGTCTTGTAAATGGAATTTTTAAAGCATTCTGAATGTAAAAATAAAGAAAAAAAGTGTGCAAGACAATAAAAACACTACCTGCCCCAAAAAAAGTGAAGTTTTGTTGAAATCGGTTGAAAAATGTAGGAAATCCGATCCCATATATAAACGAACACACACACACACACAACCTGGGTTTTATAATAAGTATAACTCGATATGAGTTGTCCCCCTTTCATTCTGGCGACAGAATCGTGTTTTCAAATTGATTTCGTGCAAAAACAATTGTGTTTTTCCAATTTTTGGCGCTGTCAGAACCACCGCAAGGTAATTTTACATAGTCCTGTGAAGTTTTGTTGAAATCGGTTGAAAAATGTAGGAAATCCGATCCAATATATAAACGTACAGACACACACACACACACACAATCTGCGTTTTATAATAAGTAAGATGATACGAATAAACATCAAAATATGAGCGAAATAAAAAGATTTTCTTCCTTTTTACCAATTATTTGTGGTTTCTTGCGATGTTTTTCGATGATGAATCTCAAGATTTCAAGAATAGAGCTTCTGAATAGGGAGGATTTGTTTGAATATTTCGAAAACCGGCATTGCAATATTCTGACGTTTCCTGATAGATAACCACTAAAAACCTCTCTGTCGTTAAGATACAAAATAATAATAATAATCATAACGCAAGTTGTTGAAAAAAATGGTCAGTTCCCAATACCACTTTAAAAATCCTACTGCTATCAGAACCAGATTAGACCAACAATGATGTATTGCTTCCATATCTTGGCGAGAGCTGACCAATCCGCACTTTCCAGTCCCGGCGGCAGACTTTAAAAGCGTTTGAGCTGCCTTATGTGCAATGTTTTCCAAACTACAACCACTTCTCACAGACGAAATGTTGCTTGTCTCCCGCTACTCTGTCATTATTTTCATGACAGATGTTCGTGCGAATGGCTTTCCATGCCTTCACTAGACCTGGCCCCACTTACTCTGCACTGACATCCTCATTCCCTTCAATCAGATAATTTCTTCCTCAGACCCGTTGCAGAGTGGAACGGACTCCGGGAAGGATGCTTCCCAATCACTAAAATTTTAACCTTTTTAAAACGAGGATCAGCCGTTATCTATCCTATATATTCTCATATTATGCACCCCTTGCTACCTCTCTGTATTCACTTAGCACAACCTCATCAATGGTAAAAAATAATTACCACTCACACTAACAAACATATAAATGCTAATAGACTAGAAAACATACACGAAATTTCGATTCAAATTCCCTGCCAGTAAATCTGTATTTTCTCTTCCACTTCATCATTCAAACGAGCCAGTTGATCACAATACTCTGCAAAGATACAGTTCGTCCAGTTTCTTGTAATTCATGATAAAGAATTTTAAAATATCAGCAAACAGATTTGCTACAAAATGGGTAAGCTAGACAAGATGAAATAATAATTATAATGAATATCCCAGAAACAATTTTAATTTCTTTTCCTAAAAAAGAAAAGGATAAGTAAAAAGAATGTATAGCTCGGTAAGTGAATGCAATTCAAGACCCTACCGTACTAACCTGATATTTGGTCCGAAACAATTCGAAATTAGGAGGGCTGGTTTGAACGGACTGATAGTGATGGATCATCATAGTGATGGATTGCCTTTGTCTAAATTTTGAGGTAGGACAGAAAAACGCGGGAAAAAAGAGCAATACATTTGAAGAAGTAGAGAAATCAAGAACCTTGACCTTTCTCTCTCATATTATTTTCTCTATCCAAGGTTTTAAAAGAATGATAGTCATAGTCCGGTGAAAATTCGAAGCAGCGATAACATGACGCATCTAGGGAAGACAGTAGCTGGTCAACCTGCTCAGACGCATCCCTCTGTTCATTCCCTCGTTTTCAAACTTACTCCAAGAACCGACGACTATTATATCATCTGCGCAAAAATAAAGAATAAAAAACGGGAAAATTATATGTAATTCATTTAGTCTGTTTTTACAGTTTTGAGGTCCCTATTAAAGAATTTAAGATGGAAAACCACAAGCCAGAAACGACATGCAACGCAACAATTTGGATCTGCTCGCATCTATCTATGTCAGTCTCTTCATTATCTATCTATGTATGTCAGTCTCTTCACTATCTATCTATCTATCTATGTATGTCAGTCTCTTCATTATCTATCTATCTATGTCAGTCTCTTCATTATCTATCTATGTATGTCAGTCTCTTCACTATCTATCTATCTATCTATGTCAGTCTCTTTATTATCTATCTATCTATGTCAGTCTCTTTATTATCTATCTATCTATCTATGTCAGTCTCTTTATTATCTATCTATCTATCTATCTATGTCAGTCTCTTTATTATCTATCTATCTATCTATGTCAGTCTCTTTATTATCTATCTATCTATCTATCTATCTATGTCAGTCTCTTTATTATCTATCTATCTATCTATCTATGTCAGTCTCTTTATTATCTATCTATCTATCAGTCTTCTTTATCTATTATCTATCTCTCTCTATCTATCTATCTATGTCAGTCTCTTTATTATCTATCTATCTATCTATCTCTATCTATCTATGTCAGTCTCTTTATTATCTATCTATCTATCTATCTATGTCAGTCTCTTTATTATCTATCTATCTATCTATCTATCACGTAGATTTAGCTAAAAAACCACTTTTAGTATATATATTAACTTAAATAATATAAATGCAATAAAGATTAAAGAGAAAAAAAACCAAAAAAAAAACAAACAAGCGAATCCATACATATACGTGTCCGAGGGAGTGTACACGTGTTCGTATACAACAACCGATATTTGTAATGAGAAAGAGGAAATACTGAGATATAAGTATTGATTGAAAAATATTTCTCCTTATTTAAAACACGTGTATGCGTAACAAAATGACTACAATTTATTGTGCTTCAGCGTGTGTTCCTATACATGTGTAATTCAAAGTTGCAATATTTAAGATAAAGAGCTATGGATTTTAGAAGATGAAGAACTCTAAATTTTTCGAGAAACCAAAGTTGGCGGAAAAAAAACCCATTCGACAAGAAAGCATCCAATTAACTCTTATACGAACGTTAGAGACAACAGCATTGTCATTACTATGTTTTAATGAGGAACTCAGTATGCATGACAGAATGGCACTGAAATAATGAGTGTCACAGATCCGTCTTATGTTTCACCTTATTTCAAATCCTGTTGATGTTCTCTGTTAATTGGAGGACATTTTTTTCTTAAATTGTTCTTTATTATTATTATTATTATTATTATTATTATTATATTTTACAGAAGAAAAGGGATAAAGTTAGTAATAATAGAAATAAAATCAGCATTCGTTTGGAGATACAATGTCTATTATGAAATGGGACTAAGCTTGAATGCCCGAGAAATTTCATAGAAAATATGTGAGATCAGTAATGTTGTACAGTCTCTTTTCCAGGAACAATTATGAACGACCTGTCATGAGTTCGAGCTTCACTGAAGATAATTTTCATGTCCTCATTTTGTGAAGCATGTAGCAGTTTTTTCATTCGTTATTTAAAAAATCTGGTAGCTTTATGTCGTGTTATTGGGGCAGCTCGGTGGGTGGTACCAAAGATATCTCCAAAAATAATAACCCATCCTTTGAATATTGATGATATTTGACGGCGTAGAAAAATTATATATATATATATATGTATATATATATATATATATATATATATGAAAGTGAATACTGAAGTCAATATCGATCGAGTTTTTCAACAGTCTGTTTCATGCTTGAATCCAATCGGGAGAATTGAAGACTGACTTCAAGCATGAAACAGATTGTCGCCACTCGGTTTTGACCACAGTGTCCACTTTTATATTTACTCACGATCTACACACACACACACACACACACATATATATATATATATAAAAGCACATACCATCCATATATATCGAAGAAATTGATAGATATATACATTTTATATACCAGATTAATGTTTGTAAAATTAATCACAAATTCTTTCCACATTTTGATTAAAATCAGCCGACATGATGAAAAAATTGCCCCAAACGTAATAAAACAAAATTTATCATCAAAATCTTTAGGTTATTATTAAGAGGACAGGTTAAAGGGGGGTTTTTATTATCAAATTCCATATTTTAAATTCTTTTTTAAAATACAATTAGGTATTTTTTTATTGGAAATATTAAATATAATGTATTAGCTTAAAATTAAAACTAAAATCAAAGATTCAAGCAAGATTTCTCATTTTAAAAAAAAGTAATTTCAAACCGTAACTTTTTTTGGGAGGTACCTACACACATGCACACACACAGACACACAGACACAGACACAAACGCACACATATATACATAAACATACATTATATATATATATATATATATATATATATATATATATATATATATATATATATATATATATATATGTGATTGTGAGTTTATCTTATATTTTTTATTTAAGACAATTACTTCACTCAGGAATTATAACTTGTCTTTATGGAATAAAAATCTGTTGGGATATGTCATCGATTTATTATTATCACAACCTTCTTCAAGGCTTTGGTCTACAAATGTACCTGGAAATCATGCAGGATTTTATTTGATTTGTATACTGACATATTCAATGCTAAAATTGATTGCAGAATATCGTCACGAGTTTGCGGGCTCAGCGCACATAAATTTCCTATTTCGCACCTATAAAGCGCACATATTTTATATTTCATACCTATAAAGCGCACATTTTTTTATCAACATTTTTTCTACCTGAATTTATTTGCGAAGAAAAAAATGTTTGGTAAGTATTGTTAGCATTCACCGTATTCTAGAATTAACGGAATTTGCTTTGCATTCTCGGTCACGATTTTTTTGAATACGACGAGAAAAATAAACGTTAAAGTAGTCAGATTTTCTTAGATGAGTTATTTTGCTTTGAAATTTAAGTTTTCATATCTTTTGATTTTAGTGCTTTCTTTTTTTTTTTTTTTAAATTTTAAATTAGCTTCTTGAATTTGAACACAAAAGTAGGTTGCTCGTCATATTCAAGTAAAATACGCTACGTATATTTGAAAATATGTCTCGCTTGCAGCTCCTTCTTGCCGCTACTTCAGTTGGGCATTAATTATAGCACTCACGTTCATTTGTTGATTTTTCTATTCATCTAGTCTTTTTTACCTCTTTCTTCCTATTTGTACATGTGAGAAGTTTGCATATTCCAACTACTGATGATAAAGGATTGCAAAGGCAGACATTGAACAGTGTATATTTACAGAAGGAAAAAATGGCAAAGACAGACATGGAACATATCTATAAAATTCTAGAAATAATGTTATCAGTCCCCTCAACAAGTGCGTTTGAAGCAGGAATTCGACTAGAAACTGTACGCTTAAACTAGACTTACCTCGAAACCCTCAATATTAAAGAGAAAGAAAAACTGTGAACTTAAATGAATTAGGAGTTTTTGCTTATTAAAATATATAGTGAATTTAGTTATCACTAACAATCATATTGTTATTGACTAGCAATCATACCCGACGTTACGTTTTTCAAATCCATGTCCATTGCTCTGCGGTACAAGCCGCTAATTTCATTTTATGCGAATGTTCCGTATGTTTTCAAATTGTATCTTTTTGATTGCGACATAATTTCCTTTGTATATTGCTGTGATTTAAATGCTAAGATAGTTATGACTTTCAGAGGAGAAAATGCCATTATTTGAATAAGAACCTATCAGAGTAAAAACAAACTCTTATAGATAAACATCACAAAAGATCAAATTGAAAATGAATAACAAGAGTTATTTATAAATTTGATTTTTGAAACTGAATAATTAAAAGATGGGGTGCTAAAAAGTTCTCGTCCCAACCGAGAAAAACTCACCCCCCCAAAAAAAAAAACATAATTGATCATATTTAGTAATTCGTATTGTACCGAAAATGATATATATATATATATATATATATATATATATATATATAGTTTATGCAAATTTAGGTAATCGTATGGGTAGACCTGAGGAGGATGATATCCAGAGAGCTCAATGTAAAATTCAGAGCAGATATGTTTGAATAAAAGACAGACCACGTTAAGATTCCATGTAATAAGCTATTTCACCATAACCCCTTTAACAGGGTTCTGGATCATCAGACTTTATTCCCAAAAAGCTGAAATGAAAAATTTCAGCTTTTGGTAAAATCTTGATCCAGAAAAATACGTTAAAGGGGTTATAATGAACAGGGATTACATGGAATCTTAACGTGGTCTATATTTTATTCAAACAAATATATATATATATATATATATATATATATATATATATATATATATATATATATTCCAGTCGAATCCATTACATTCACTTACGTGCTAATACCCTTGGGAAAGGTATGACTCCTTTCTTCTCCTCCAGCTATGGATAAATAGCAGGACAAACTGAGTTCTATAGCATTGGATGGCAACTGGTCTAGGAGAATGACAACTCTGAATTCAAAACCTGCGGAGGGTCATTTGGGGACCTTGTGACACTTAGTGCACCAGGGCACTGAATTCGGCCCTTCAAAAAGTGTGGCTGGTCCTGCACGAAAACCTTCACCACTATAATCAATTCTCATGTGCTGTTGTCGGGATGTCGGTTTCCTGGGAACTGATCTGCTTGACCCTCATACGTCGAAAATCGACGGGAGAGTCGATATATATATATATATATATATATATATATATATATATATATATATATATATATGTGTGTGTGTGTGTGTGTGTGTGTGTGTAAATATTAAACAGTATATATATTTAAATTTTGTTGCATATATAGGATTTGAGTGCTCGATATCCATATATTTATAAACAGTATGGAGATCCAAAATCGAAATCAAAAGCTTCTCTCTGCTTCCGCTCTCTCTTTATACATATAATAAAAATACAGTTTTAAGGTATGCTATATTTATGGACCAGGGAAAGTGCTAAATATCAAGGAAAGAGCGTATGCAAATATAAAAGTGGACATGGATGAAGAACAAACATGAAACGTTCTGTCGTCTCTCGCTGTTGACCTCAGTTTCCACATTTATACTAACACACAAACACACACACACACACACACATATATATATATATATATATATAAAAGTGAACATAGAAGTCAACAGTCAACATTTATAGGCGACAGTCTGTTTCATGCAAGATGCAGGAAAAAAACTGCATCTAGCATGAAACAGACTGTCGCCTCTAAGTTTTGACTTCTATGTTCACTTTTATATTTACACACGCTATATCTCTGATATTGAACACTTTATCCCATAAATATAGCACATCTTAAGACTATATTTCTTCATATATATATATATATATATATATATATATATATATATATATATATATATATATATATATATATAGATAGATAGATATAAAATATTAGGATTATGACTTTGTGTAACCCTATATTCTTGTGTCATAAATCGATTAACTTTTACTGAAAAATAATGAAAAAGGTATTAATTTTTTTTTACTTCTTGAAAAAGGTCATTCCCAAACCGAAAATTTTATTTTAGCATACAATACGCAATAAGGGTAAAAATCAAAATCAATTTGCTAATGATATAATTGGATAGCACTTAAGTATTTTTAAGGCATTTAACAGTTTATAGCTATA